TAGAGGCTGTTGCCCAGCTTAGGGATAGCTAGAGGTATTTCTTAAAATGACTATTAGCAGGTATATGGTTAATGGGGAATATGTGATGTTATAGAAAAAAAGATGTCAATTTCTTGTGATATGTTGGTATTTTATCATTTCTTGGCTCTTTAGGGAGGGTATGGGCAGAGATGAACCCAGGCTCTGTGGAAATGGTACACATGGCCTTGGGGTGAGGACTTGCAAGGCTGCTGGATGCAGCTGCTGAGGAGATAGTCCCAGCTGTGTCTCAGGCACAGGGATCCTGGATGAGTAAAGGTGCCAGGGACTCCTAGCTCTGTTCCCAGTTTGTTCCTCCCCCCTGCAGTCTGGTCAGCTTCAACATGTCTGATTGGCCTTATGTGGCCTTACAGTCATGTGATCACGGTGTCATCATCACACATCCCTTTTCTAGAATATGCAGTTCTTTCCTCATTGTCCTGTTTTATGGCTACAAGAGTAATTTTCTTCTTGTCTGGTAGCAAAGAGGAAGATAAGGTCATGTCTTAGCCATCCTCACAGAGGGGAAGATGTCAGCATCCAGGGAGGCCTGTGAGTGCAGAGGGGTGAACAATGCATGAATCACGCCTTTTTTTCAAACAGCATACCCTGCCTTATCTTTGTGACCCAGGATGAGCACATTTCTTGGTGTCAGGAGTGTGGCTGCTCATCAGGGCCAAGCAGGGTTGTGTTAAGTGTTGAGCTAATGTGATGATGGCCTGTGTCCATTGTAGGCACTGTCACTGTGTTGGACATGTTGAAAACCATGTCTCTGCATTGACTCTGCTTCCTGGCCTGTGTAGTGCCTCTCTTTGGAGTCCCCATGCCACATTGTTGATTCCTCTGTCATCTGTGTTGTATTCATTAGGTGGCTGGTGGAACAGGGCTAGACCATTGCAACGCATTATCTCGGCAAACAAAAACAGACGGTTTTTGATAGGGACGATGAGCTCTTCCATTTCTTGCTCTCTGTTTACAGGTCACCCCGACTTCCTCTTGGCCCTTTGGAATTCCATTTTGGCGCTCTCTCTTTCCAGCCTCTCTGGACTGAATTATAGAACATCCTGGTGGAGTTCACAGCATTGAAGAAATGTTTAGTGTAGCAAAACTCCATCATTCAATGCCAGAGTGTTGTACAAAGAAAAGAAGCAAAGTTTTTTTGTTTTTTTTAAATCTAGGTGTCTTGAGGGAGGGGTTACCCTGTTGTGTGTCTTTCCCTGGGAGGACGTCTAACCTAGACAGTTATGAGCGATGAGAGAGGCTGGATCAGGGAGGAATGGCTGGGGATCTCCTGGCTTTCCTGATTTAGTAAGAAGGCCTGTGTTCCCACAGTGGGGAGGAGGCCTTCCTTACACCTGTGACACATTGTCCTTGTACATCTGACACCAAGATGCCTCATAGTAGTCCTGTGACAGCTGACAGGAACTTGTTATTACCCAAGTGCCCTGCTGTTACCTCAGATGCAGCCAGCCTAGAACTGAACTTCTCAACTCTGCCCAGAAGAGGTTCCCCAGTCTCGTGGGCCCAGCTCCTGGGCTGTGATAAGGATACACCTTTGACTCATGCTCCTCTTTCACCTAGGCTCCCATGGGTCCACCCAGCTGGCTGTTTGCCAGACATAAACTCATCACTGGGCAGAGGTCCCAAGTTCTTCTTTTGAGGCCTTTCCAGTGCAGTGGGACATACCATGAGCCCCTGGGGTTTGTCCTTCTGCCAGGTGACGCCATCAGCTTTCACCCTGGTCCAAGGCCTCAGATGCAGCCAGCCAAGTGTGGCTTATCAGAGGCCCCTGTCTGTGGAAATAGGAGACCTTTTTTTAAAAGTCTGCATTGAGTTTTCATCTGAGACCGCTTGATGTGTTATGCACTGGTATTCAGAACCCTGAACTAGTGATTCTTGGGCTCTTATTAAATTGCTCATGTCCTGCTTATGGGAGTCAATGGAAGGTTTTGACTCTTCTTCAGCATCTGGTTGCTCCTGTCTAATCGCATCAACCATTTTGACCTTAGCCAACTACATCCTGCCCTTACATGTTTCCCTGCCTCGTGTACCACCCCCTCTGCCTGGAAGAGCATTCTCCTCCTTGTGAGAAAACTGCTCACCTGTCAAGACTTGATGACGTCACCTACCTGCCTCTATTGGTACACCTCATAGTGTGTGGTAATTATTTGTTCACATCTCTGTCTCCTCTATCATGGGAGCACACAGATAGTGAATTATCAATAGCTCTGCAGTGCCCAGCACTGCAGGGGTTCAGGGAATGCTGGCTGCTTGGATGCACTCATTTATTTACAAGTATTTACTTACAACCTGCCTTGTGTCAGGCACCCTGTTAGGCACTGAGACCACAGGAGTGAAAGGGGAGAAGTGCTCCATGGGAAGGTGGGGAGATAGGAAGAAAATGTAAATAGATAAGATAATGGTAAGATAATGCTGTGCTTTAGATAAGGGATTTTGGGGGAAGTCCTCTCTGAGAAGACACTTTGAAACTGAAGACCTAAGGATGAGAGAAACAGCCTTTCAGAAAGCTGGGAATACACTTGGGGTGGCGAGGACAGCAGTGGCAACTCACAGGGAAGGAGGTGGTCTTAGAGGGTTTGGGGAGCACATGGGAGACCACGCTGCTGGGGAGAGTGACGGGAAGTTGGCCTGGCGGCACCGTTTTCAGAGGTCACAGGAAAGATTTGGGATATTTTGTCTCCTGGAGCAGTTCAACTGTTTTTGGAGGGAAGAAGTTCAAATTTTTTATGTTTCTATGATGGAGCAAAGGGAATCTGCTCACTCAGCCCTGCCTTTGCCACCTCCCCTTTCCCTGCCCCCTTATACACCCAGACCCCAGCTTGCTCCCTTTTCAGAGCCCCAGACTGCCATACCCTGGGGCCAGTCTGGGCCACTTTCCTCCCTCAGAGGAGCTTTGCCCTTTGTCTCATCCTATCAGCACTGCTAAGACTGTGGAGTACCAGTGAAGTCTGTACCCCTCTGTGAGTGACCGTCCTCATTCCCTTAGCTAACTGTACAGTGGTTCTAGACTTGGAATCCCTACCCCCCAGGATGAGTGTCTGAACCTCCCTTGGCCTTTGTCCCTGTGGAGCACTGTTCTCTGCACATGCAGAGTGGCTTTCTTCCCTTGTCCTGCCCGCCTCCTGTGGGGAGTTTGCTGGGTTCTCCCTCCACAGGCCACTGCATTTTAGTCTCAGATTTTATCAGGACATGGATATCTGCTCACTTAAAAGCAAAACAGCAAAACGAGCTCTTACTGCATGTAAAGAGTGCTCTGTATGAATCTTTAATGATCCACGGATCATGACATCAGTCTTGTGATTTAGATGCTGTTGTCTTCATTTTACAGATGAGGAAACGGGCTCCAAGATCACACAGTAAATGACAGAGCCAGGCCTGGACTCAGTCTAGTTCTTTGTGGTCCTAAAATCCTTATCTTTACCATCTCCAAAGCTGTGTGGTGCCCAATTTCCTACAGAAGTTCCACATCACAGGGAAAATGAGCAGAGCCCTCCAAGTCATCTATTGCATCCCTTGGCGTGGGAGCCATTCAAAATACTGATGCCCATTAGGCACATGTGTAGGTTTTGCTGAATGAGCCACAAACCATGACTCCTGCTCCCAGTTTACAGACGTGATCTAAGTATCGTTTTAGGATGACAAATGCTGTTGTAAGACCTTTCCTGCTGCCCTGGGAGGAGGTAGGAAGCCAGAAACGAGAGGAGGCGGCAGGAAGTCGGTTTAATTCCAGTTGTCCAGAGATGGGAGCAGTTGCCTCTGGGTAGGTGGGATTGGGGGTAGGAGGAGGAAGGTCCTCATCCCTAGTGACAGGCCCTTAGAGCAGAGATTAAGCATTAGGAAGTGGTTGGACTGCGTATCCTGGAGATGTTCCTGAGCCTGGAGAGGCTGGGCTTCTACTTCGAATGGTACTGGCTACAGTACAGCTAAGATGGCCAGCAGTGGTCCCATGACAGCATTGTCTCAGGCATCCTTGTGCCTGTGACCCTTGTACATGGTGAACACTGGCCTCGGGAGAAAGGAAATTGGCGTTTGAGGCCTTTCAGCTAGGATCACACCCATTCAAGGGAAGCATTGTGAATGTGAGGCACATGTGGCCATGAGACAGTGGAGCTGTCCCTAGTGGTGGTTGGAGCTTCTTGACTGTCAGCATGGGGCAGCCTAATAACTATCTTGCTGCTGCTGGGAACTCTGGGTATCCTGGTAGTCTTTCATTACAAAAAAAATTAAATGCTGAAGATTCATGAAGAAAGAACACTTATACCAGGAGGAAGAAGCCATGGAGATGCCAGGAACTACCTACCTGCTGCTAGGATTCCTGATGATGATGGTGGTGGTGGCGGCAATGATGGTGTGTGTGTGTGTGTGTGTGTGTGTGTGTGTGTGTGCGCGCGCGCGTGCATGAATACCATAGCATGCATATGGAGATCAGAAGACAGCTTTTTGGAGTTAGTCCTCTCCTTCCACCTTTACCTGGGTTCCAGGGATTGAATTCATGTTGTCAGGCTTGAGCAGCAAGCACTTTAACTTGCTGAGTTACCTTGCTGGCCCCTGGCCTGGATTCTTAATGAAAGCACTTTGTATATATGGGTAACACAGTGTTGTGTGCTTGAACATTTGTCAAGAGGGTAGCTTTCTCATTCACAGTACTGTTCTTGCCACCAAACACACCTTTTGAACTTGTTGACTATGCCCATTACCATTATTTTGGTAGTGGTGTCATGGGGTTTCTGTATATCCCCAAACACAGCAGGTTGAATGCATTAAATATCTCAGTTCTTTGTTTATCAGTTTACTTCAATAAAGCTGTTTTTAAAAAATTGAAAAATGTAAAAGAAAATACACCCTATGATGATGGTTCTAAAGCATTTTATGGTCTTACCTGTGTAATGGACACCGTCTGTAACTTTTCCTTTGTTCTGTATTTGAATTTTCAGTAACAGGAGGAGACACTGCAGATAGAAGGAGCCATGGCCTCTGATGCGAGCCATGCGCTGGAAGCTGCCCTGGAACAGATGGATGGGATCATTGCAGGTAGCTCAGGGGTCCCGGGACTGGTGTCCTGTCCTCTGTCCTCCGTGTCTCAGACTGTTTCCTTTCATTAGACATTTCTGTTGGCATAGAGAAAGCCAACAGATTTACTTTTAAGTAGTTTTATGGTTCTCTCTCTCTCTCTCTCTCTCTCTCTCTCTCTCTTTCTCCCTCCCTCTCTCATGGAGTTCTCTTACATCTGGTGTGATAGTTTAGGAGTCTGTGTTGAGACAGGGCAGGCCTACCCATGCATGTACATAGCTGTGTCACAGTTTGGATTCCGGCTGTAAGGCGATTTAGGTGCTGTGAAATTGCGTCTACTGTAAAATTTTCAGAGCGCATCACAGCTTCTAACAGCAGAGCTGAAACTCGAAGTTGAGCTGACTTTGTTACCTAATCAGTGTCTGCTCACTTTCCCAGCTGTCATCCAGTGTTAGGAGACCGGAGGCAGTTTTGTATTGGTTCACATCATGATTACAATGCTCTTTAGCCCATATTTTCTTAGTCGAGGTTACCTCAAGTGTTTGGCTTATGATATTTGCATTAGTCAGTAGGGGAGTTTCTTTGGAAAGGAACTTTGGATACTTGGGGCAGACTGCTGGTGGGCTGTTCGGTCTTGATTCCTCAATAGGAACAACGAGGATGTTGTATTGGTTACAAGGCTATTGTTGAAGACCTTACCAAAAGGTCCCAGGTTTGTTTTTTCCGTCCTTACCAGATAGAGTTAATGGGCTTATGGGCAGAGAGGGTGTACTTCTTTGGGATTTGGCTCCTCATCGTGTGAAGTGCATGACCGAGGAGATGGAGGAAGAAGGGGTATGACTGAATGGGGCTTGGCCACAGGAAGTGCTCAGGACACCTGACACTGCCCCTTTCCGGTTGCTTGCTTTTCCTTCCCATTGCAGAAATACATCTGGGTTGTGGGGGGTTCTGGGAATTGGAGCCTGGGGTGAGGGAGGCTTTTTGTATCTTACAGCTTCCTCCTGTTACAGGTTGCATTGTAACCCAGCCGAGCCGTCATCTGGCAGGCTCTCGGGTTCTCCACAAACAGAAGAGCCCGTGAGAGGCCATAGCTAATGTCCTGCTTTCCTAAGACTCCATACGTTGGGGTGTCCTGTGCTAGCTTAGAGTCACTGATGACTTATTGAGAAAACACCATCAAGTGACTGGACGTCCTAGAAATATGTTTAGAAAGCCAGAACTGGAAGCTCCCTGCTGCACTGAGATAAAAGCTACAGGGTCAGACTGTGGCTGAGGGGTCAGTACATCTGAGCCTTGGCCTGAGGACAGAGCTCCTGGCAGAGTCATGGATGGTTGTGAGGGACGAATGAGATGGTTGCGTTTTCTCCATTGTGTTGCTTTGTTTTTTATATGTCAAAGACTACTGACTGTATTTATGTGGGTCAATTTTTGAGGGTTCTGTTTGGTTCCACTGATCTATTTTTTTTTAACCAGTGTTACAGTATGTTAATTACTGTAGCTTTATAGTAAGCCTTAATGTCAAATCATGTGTTAGTCTTCCAACTTTGTTCTTCAACAACATTGTATTGGCTAGCCTGGGTCTGGTCTCAGTCTCTCTCTCTCTCTCTCTCTCTCTCTCTCTCTCTCTCTCTCTCTCCCTCTCTCTCCCCCCACCCTCTAGAACCAGTTTGTCCATACACAGAAGTTACCTTGTTGAGATTATGATTGGAATTGTATTGAATCTGTACATTATTTTGGAACTATGAATAGAGCTTAATGGTAGAACACTTAGCACTCAGAAGGCCCTGGATTCAATCCCCAGTGCTACACAAAAGAAAGAAAGAATAAGAAAGCTACAGATCATGTTTGGAAGAACTGACATTCTGACTACATTGACCCTTTGAGGGATGAGCGGGATGGTGCCTAGAGAAGGCAGCCTTGTGTGGGGTCAGCTCCTCTTCCTGCTTCCTGATTCCTCCATACAGGCATCCCTAAAATGACAGCCTCTGAAACAGTCCTCTCTGTCACTGACAGATTGTGTAACTGGATCCTCAAGGCCTTGTCTGGGCACAGGATCTACAGGTGAGAAGCTGGGACAGGTGTGGAGGGAGGGCGCTTAGGTGTGTAGCTTGTGAGGAACCTGGTCCACCTGTTTTCCTGACTTTGAAGAACAAAGTGCTCCCTCCTTCATCCTTTTCCTTAGCCCTGCATCCTGCAAGGATGCATCTGGAATGGTTTCCTGAGCCTCTCTATCTAGAACAGACATGAGGGTTTTGTAGAGTGAAAAAAGTAAGACATTCTGAGACATTCTTTGCAGCTGGGTAGGGGAAATACCTGTAGGCAGACCACTTGGTTCCGATTGGTCTACAAGTTCTTTTCACAATTTAAGTTTCAGTTTTCCTATATTTAAATGCAGCTAGTAACAGTACCCACTTTAGGACATGACTGTGTTAATCCATGTAAGGTATTTAGACCATTGCTTGGCATCTATAAGCATATAAAAAAGTTATCCCTTTTTTGTTGTTGTTGTTTGTTTGTTTGAAACAGGGTCTTATATAGCCCAGGCTGTCCTGGGACTCATTATGTAGTCCAGGTTGGCCTTATACATGTGATGGTCCTCCTACCTCAACTTTCTAAGTGCTGGGATTCAATGTGAGCCACCATATCTGGCTAAAATGTTCCACCAAGGACACAGTCGACTTCACATTTCTTTTTTATTCATTTTTATTTTTTTTATGTGTATTATGCCTGCATGCAGGTAAGTGCATCACATGTATGCAATGCCTGCAGAGGCCAGAGAAGGTGTTGGGTCCCCTGGAGCTGGAGTTACAGACAGTTGTTAGCCACCATATGGGTGCTGGGAAACGAACCCAGGTCTTGCAAGAGCAGCCAGTGCTCTTAACTATCTCTCCAGCCCCAGCTTCTTATTTATTGAAGCTCCTATCACACTCATCTGTGTTTTAGGATTTCCATTATGGACTTGCCCAGGGGCTTCACGATTGTCATATCGTCCTGACTGGTCTCCGCTTTTCTTGTTGCCCCTTATAGACTTTCACAGAGCAGCAGAGGAAGCCTGAAAATGTGAATGAAATCAGGTTCCTCCTCTCCCTGCAAATCTCCAATGGCATCCCACCTCAGGATAGTGACTGATGTTCTCCCCATGCCCACAGTGTCAGAATGTGATTTGCCTCTTCTGCTGTGGCTTCATCTTCTGGCTTATCAAACTTTAGCCATGTACCCTGGCTCTCTCAGGCCCCTGGTGCTTTCTTTCCCTTCTGGAAAACTGTCACCATGTCAAAAGGCCTACCCCAGTCTGTCCACTATATGATCCCACACCACTCAGGCCTCATAATGTGTTATTCTGTGTGTGTGTGTGTGTGTGTGTGTGTGTGTGTGTGTGTGCCTGTCTGTGTGTCTGTCTGTGTGTCTGTTTGTCTGTCTCTGTGTCTGTGTATATATACAGGCCAGAGGACAATCTGAATTGTCTTTCCTCAGACATTGTCTATGTGTTTTTTAGAGACCAGGGTCTCTCACTTGGCCCAGAACTCACTGATGAGGCTAGACTGACTAGCTGGGTAGCCCTAGGGATCTTTTTGTCTCTGCCTTCCCGTTGTTGAAATTAGAAGCACACATCTGCCTTTTTTGGTGTGTTCTGAGAACTGAACGCCAGTCCTTATACCAAGCACTCTGCTAACAGCCATCTCCCCAGTCTTCTTTATATTTCTTTACAGCACGTATCACTTGGCCTATTATATTCATATTGGTCTTTTGTTGTCTGCTCCTTGGCACCCGAATGCCAGTTTCATGAGGACAGAGACTCCACCATCGCATCCCTGGTCTTGATTAGTCTGTAGAACAGTAAATTTTTGTCACAATCATATTTTATTTGCCTTTGTGAATGAAGTATCTTCTCATCAGTCAGGAGGCAGTACTGGTTTCTGTGTGCGTCTTCTATCTGGCTGCACAGTGAACACTCTCTTCTCCACTTCTACCTTTGTTTGGATTTTTTTTTTTTAAGAATATCAAATCATGGAGCTGGAAAAATGCCTCATTGGTTAAGAACACTGGCTGCTCTTGCTGAGGATCTGGGTAGCAACTGTCCAAAACTCCAATCACAGTGGATCCAACACCCTCTTCTGGCCTCTGTGGGCATTGCACACACAGGTACCCTTACATACATATATGCTAAACACTTGAACACATAAAAATAAACTTAAAAAAGAGTATCAGGGCTGGAGAGGTGGCTCAGCAGTTAAGAGCACTGACTGCTCTTGCAGAGGACCTGGGTTCAGTTTCCAGTAACCACATGGCGGCTACAATCCTTAACTCTAGTTCCAGGGGAATCTGAAACCTTCTTCTGACCTCTGCAGCATTGCACGACACAGGTGCACTCACATACATGCGGGCAATACAAGTATACACATTAAAAAATATATATCAGGGGCTGGAGAGATGGCTCAGTGGTTAAGAACACTGGTTGTTCTTGCAGAAGACCCGAGTTCGAATCCCAGCACACACATGGCAGCTAACAACTGTATAACTCCAGTCCCAGGGGATCTGACAGCCTCTTCTGACCTCCACGGGCACCGCACGACATGGGTGCACTTACCTACATGTGGCAATACACACATACACATAAAGTAAAAATAATAAATTAAAAAAAAAGGAATATCAGCCAGGTGTGGTGGTGCACGCCTTTAATCCCAGCACTTGGGAGGCAGAGGCAGGCAGATCTCTGAGTTTGAGGCCAGCCTGGTATACATAGTGAGTTCCAGGTCAGCTGGGGCTGCAGGGAGACCCTGTCTCAAAAAAGACCCCCCCAAAAAAAATCAAATCACTCTCCTTGTAGTCTTAGTAGTTGCCAAGTCCTGTGAACCATGCCTTAAGTTGTAATTAACCCACACCATGTGACAGGAGCTGTGGTACATAATTTACCTCTGAGCTCATTAGTGTCTAGAGTGCATACAGTCTGCTATGTCCAAGAAAAAGAGTAGTAATTACCCGATGGCCATTCCTCAGGACACTTTTCCTCAAGATTTTTA